TTTCACTGTTCCCAGCATTATAAAATTCTCAAAGGGTCTTCACATAACATGTCCAAATATGATCATTTGTGGATCGAGTGAGAACTTTGCATCCAACCAAATTCAACATATAATACTGCTGTTGGCAAGTAGCCAAGTGGTACTTTATAATGCCTTGGTAAGGCCACACTTGGAATACTGCATCCAGTTTTGGTCCCCACAATGTGAAAAAGATGTGGAGATTCTAGAAAGAGTGCAAAGAGCAATAAAGATGATTAGGGGAATGGAGGCTAAAACATATGAAGAACAGTTGCAGGAACTGGGTAGGTCTAGTTTAATGAAAAGAAGGACTAGGGGTGACATGATAGCCATGTTCCAATATCTCAGGGGTTGCCACAAAGAAGAGGGAGTCAAACTATTCTCCAAGGCACCTGAGGGTAGATCAAGAAGCAATGGGTAGAAACTAATCAAGGAGAGAAACAACCTAGAACTAAGGAGAAATTTCCTGGCAGTTAGAACAATTAATCTCTGGAACAACTTGCCTCCAAAAGTTGTGAATGCTCCAATGCTGCAAGTTTTTAAGAAGATATGAGATAACCATTTTTCTGAAGTGGTGTTGGGTTTCCTGCCTAAGCAGGTGGTTGTATTAGAAGACCTCCAGGGTCCTTTCCAACTCTGTTATTTTGTTTTCCCAAAGATCTATTCATTGTATTATTCATTGTGGTGGAGGTGCTGATTGGTGTGGATTTCAAATGTTACATATCGGAATGATATCTAGAGTAAATAAAGTAAAGAAGGCAGGCAGGCAGCATTTGCTTAGCTAATATAAAATCTTGATGGGGTATAACTAAACCAGGGGTGGGAAACTATGGCCCCTTCACAATCTGTGAACCTGAGCTAGGAATTCTGGGAATTGAAGTTTTCTTCCCGTTTTTGGCAAATCACCCCATAGCAAACAATAGGTTCACTTAATGATCACTGAATTTGCTTAATGACCACTTTTAAAAAATTGTGAAAAAGGGTCATCTCAATATCATGATTTAGAACCATAATGGGCAAGCTCCTGTAGCTTTAAGTACTGTACAACATGTTAACTAGCTTCAATTTATTTCTTTTTCGGTTCACACGTGAATTCATGAACTAACCTAACATGTTAAAGAAAGTAAGACGCAGAAACAAAATAATGAGTTAACTAATGAATGGCTAGCCAAGTTAAATTTGTTCCTTTACTTATAGATAATACTACTTGATGACCAAAAAGCTTAGAATTAAATCTATTACCCACTTTCCACCATACCTCCCATCCTTCAATGTGAGACTGCAATTGCTCAAGAGCTTCCAGCTTCTCCATCTGCCTTTTGGTCTCATTGATATTGGAACACACTGTCTTCATTGCCTGTAACGCATTCAATACCGCTTGATAATCTGGGTGTTTAGTGGGTGTCCTCTTGGCTAATTCCTGGAAGAAAGTTGTAAAAAAAGAAAAGGGAAAACAGAAATAAGTTACAGAAGTTATAAGACAAACTGATTTTCTATTGCGATTAAGACAGAATGCAATTACTGAAAATCACAATGGCAAGGAGATGCCTCTAACTGAAAGATATTGAGTTCAAGAATTTTATTAATTCTTGAAGACTGCAAGACAAGACCGACCAACTTGCAATTCTCTAATCTTAGAAGGTTAACCGTAGTTTTCAAACAGGTAATTCTGAACACTCAAGTCTCTCAATCAGCTCAACAGAGTGTTAGTTCCTGTATTTTTTTTTCTAAACATTCAGATTCCATATATATCACTTCCTCCCAAGGATTGTATCAAAGAATGTTCATTCACAGATAGAACAGTATCAGCCCCTAACACTTATTACAGGTAATAAACATAATTGAGCCCAACATTTCCATGGCTAAGCAAGATAGGTTAAGTGAGTTTTGCTCCATTTTATGAGCTTTCTTATCACCGTTGTTAAATGAATCTGGCTTCTCCACTGACTTTGTCAGAAAGTCACAAAGGATGATCATAGGATTCTGAAACACTGAGACTGTCATAAATTCATGCCATTGCCAAGTGTTTTAATTTTGACAAGGATGCTGCAGCAGATGTGTGAAAAACAGTCATAAGTCACTTTTTGGGTGCCATTGTGACTTGAATGGTCACTAAATGAATTGCCGTAAGTCGAGGACTAACTGCATTTTCCTCTTCTACCCCTACACCTTCTTTATATAACCTTCTTCATAAGTAACAGAATTTGCAGTGCACACAGGAAGAACAGAAGACCTACTTCTAGAGTGACTCATTCTAATATTATTGCTCAGTACCACTTCAAATTGAAATAGCATCCTGTTGAAAATATACATTCAGAAGAGCCAGAATATGTCAGGAACAGTCATCCTTTTAATAAATGAGGACATCATTGGATATTTATACATGTTCCACATATACAATCATTAGGATCATGGCACATAAATGGCCACATTATGTCAAATATGTGGCTGGTTCCCTAGCCTTTGTTTCATTCCTAGTTATTCAGAATGATCTTTTTTCCCCTTTTGCTTTTCAAAAATTACAAACCAATTTCAATTACTGGAGGATGTACTTGATGCTTCATAAAAGGAGTCCAGGTTGCATTTGATTCTGGTACTTCAAAT